ACGCTATAACGAAGATTCTTATAACGAAGTCCTGATCGGCTGGAGCGGCAACTTCGTTATATCGAGGTGTGACTGTATTTCTTAATTTCAGATCAGTAAAACTAAAAAGTATAAGATTTATGGGTTAACATAAGAAAAGATAATTGATAACTGAAAGTTCAACTACTTAAATATCAAAGTGACAAGAGGTACTAGAATATCTTCAAAGAAACAGAAAATTATGGTACAATAAAATAATCTACAATATGATCAACATGTAGATCACAAAAATTGATCTACAAGAATTTATAACACAATAATCTGCCTACAATATTAATCAAATCAATTAATAAAATTAATAAAGAGATGAAGTAATAGATCATTAGCTTATAATGACACGTATGACTTTTTAAACTAGAAACTCCAAAAGGAACTTCAAAAAAACTAGCCAAAGGCTAAGTATTAAGATGTAATAATAATTAAAAGAACAATATAATTATATTTTTATATCTCTTTAAATACAGTATATAAATATATTATAATTATAGGATTATTACATAGTGATTAGGTAGTTATTACTCAATTATTATAGCAAAATTGCATAGAAAGATGAGATAATTTTTACTGTTTAGCACTACCTAAAATATTCTTTTTTAAGCATATCTTACTTTAAAAGATTCGGGTATTTTACTAGATAGCAAAATTTTTTCTTATTTTAGAATTCAGGTATTATTCAATTTTAATTATGTGAGTTTTGAATATGATCTGAATATTTTATATAAAGTTTTTAGTTTTAAAATTTAGATCGATTTAATAAATTAATAAATTAATCAATTTTATAGTATATTCTTGAGTAATATTTCTATTTATTTATAATTTGATAATACAAAATTATTAAATAAATACTACAGAATTATAAATTTGATTAAATACCTTAATTTAATTTTGGATTATGTTGCAATCTTCATTTTCTTTATAATAATTTTCTTCACTTTCATTATTCTTACCATCTAATTCATTTCTATTACTATCATCTTTAAATTCACTTTCATTACCTTCATCTTCTTCAATTCTTTTCTTTGATTATTTATTTTTTCTACTTTATTAAAATTAAAAATTAGATTATTCTTCTTCCTATTTAAAGAATTTGACTTAAATAAATGTCTAATCATATTAGAATCAATTGAATCCTAACTTTCTTTTACCCAAGTTGCTATAGCTTGAAACCCTTAATCATAGCAATTCTTAATATTAAACGCTAAATTTACTTTTTTAAATAATTATATGATTCTGACCAGCATTAAGAAATATTATTATAATTTCAACCAAATTCAAAAATTAAACTTTATTAAAATATCTTGAAGTATATTATTAGAAATTATATAATGTCTTTTATACTTTTTAACAGTATATTCCGTTTGCTTTACATTTAATTCCTTCCTATATACATTCATATATCTATAAGATTTTCTAGCAAATACTCTTATTTCTAATAAAGAAACATGATTTAATGCAATAAGAACAACTTGTTACAATCTATTCTATGTATAGTTACAATTATCTCTTGAATAACATTTTATAATTTCCTAATATATTTTAATATAATTAAGTTTATAGTGAAATTTCAGGTAAAAATTACCTTATGATCTTTACTTTCAATAATTTTTTGAATCATGTATTTTTGAGCAAGAAAATCAGATTGATTTTCTAATATATACTGCATGTAATATTAATTATCTGTTGAATCTTTATTTTACAAAAACTTTTTAAACTTGACTTTAATAATTGGCATTCATGTAAAATTTGTTTCATTTCCTTTGATTTTTCATAAAAAGATTTGTCAGAAAAATCATCAGAAAAATTCATAAATTGAACTTAATAATATTTTTCATTTTTAGTTGTTTGCTATCTGATCTCACATTTATGCGATTTGCAATAAGAGCATCAGTGATAAATATACCATGAGAAGTAGAATTATTAAATGCAAAAATTGCAATAGCTTCAGGATGAGTTGCTTTAAATATTAGAATTACATAATTAATAATCTGTAAAATAAATAAATTTATATAATTAATAAAAAAAGTTAATTAATATATTGTAAATTTAATCAAATATCTATTAAACTAATAATTCAATATTTCATTAATCATTATTTATTCCTGGGTTCATCATTACTCTAACTTCATGTAAAATATTATTTATATTTTCCAAAAGTTTTTGTTCTTCATTTAATTGCAATCTTTTAATTGTTTCATATAAAAAATTACTAATATGAATAGCTCCTCCTCTTTCTTTTTTATGAAGAGATGCTTTTCTATGTGAAACTCATCCAGATTATCTTCCATCATTAGAATGAAAAGTAGTTTCATCATGAGTTACCAAAATATGTAAATATTCATTTTCTTGCAAATCAGGATTGATTTGAATCTTCAGATTATTATTCTTAAATTTTGGCATTAATTTTTCATAATTTTTAATTTAATAAAATTAATTAGATTAAAGAATAAATTTTTTATTTTAAAATCATTAAAATAAAATTTTACTTTGTCATTTGTTTCAAAAACTTTGATTTATATTTAATTACATCAGGTCTTTTGTAATCATTAACATAAACACTTTTAGAAAATTGTTTAAACTCAAATCCCATTTTATGAAGCCATCTTCTTGCAGTTTTTGAGTTAAATTCAAGAATTTATTAAATAATTTTCATTTAATAAATAAATTAATTATCCTTTAATTCAAACTTTATTGTTGTTTCTTATTCTATTCCAAGTAACAGAAAAAAAGTATTTTTTATATAATCAATAAAATCAGTCATATAAAATTCAAATTTATTTTTACATAAATATGCTGCTATCTATATTTGAACATTTTTATTATCAATTAAACTTTTAATTTTACAGTGTTTTCTCAGTTTAGAAATTGGAATAGTTTCACCATTTTTTACCAGTTTTTCTCATACTCTATGACAATGTGTAAAGTATAACCCTTTATTTAATTATCATATAATATAGAGACTTACTTTCATTTTTGGTTCTTAGTGATTAATAAGCCTAAAATACTGTAATAAAGCAGTTAATCTTAGTTTATAACTACTATTATGATTCTGTTTCAATTCATTTTTAATGAATATAATCAATTGTTTATAATTGAAATATTTTTCACGTTTGGGTTTCTGTTCATTATCAGATTTGTCAGAATCGAATTAAGCTGATGGAGTTGGTTGAGTTGGTAAACAATAAAATTAATCAGTAAATTCTAATTGAATAATATTTATTAATCAGATATTAACTGATTTATATCTAATTATAATATTTACTGATTTTAGTTTTGATTAGTAATTAATAATATGACTAATCAGAAAGATATCTGATTGATCAGTATTTGATCTATGTAAACTTTTTAACTAATAAAATAACAGTTTAAATTTGAAAATAATCATCATAAATTTCAGCAATGGTTTAATTATTTGATATTATTATGTTTATATCATATATGATTAAAAAATATCAATTTTATGAAAAGGTATTGTATTTATTTAAAAATTGGCTTTTCTAGTATCTAAAATCAATATAATAAATATTGCAAAATAATTTATATCTATTATAAGTTAATGTATAAGAAATACTATCTAAAAAATTAAAATTATATATCAAAAACTTCAATAAGTAAATCTATTAATTATTCTGATAATATATTTATCATAAACATTTTAAAATTTATAAGATTAATATAAAACATTCTTTTATTAATTGTAATTATATAATAATTACTTTTGTATATTTTACTTCAATTCATAATCTTAATTTTTATAATTTTACTTCAAATAATACATCTAAATAAAAATTAATTAAGTTTAATAATTTATTACATTTATTATTAGATAATTTACAAAACTTCTTAGGTTTTAGCAATCCTAAGACTAAAAAAAATTATTTTTTTTAATGTAAAAATCTGAACTATTTTACTAAAAAAAAAAAAAAAAATATCATATTTAGCATAAAAAGATATAATTATGATGTAATGATGTAATGGATTTTCACCTATATTTAACATGTGTAATTTTTTTTTTTCAATATTGTGATTAATTTTAAGAAAAAACCATTGTAAAGAAACTTCTTGCGGATGCTTTGCTGATTACAGTTTACAGACTTATAATAATTTTACATTGACTCATACGATGAATGGAACGCAAAATCAAAATCTACTTTATCTGGAATCCCTTTGCCAAGGTTAAATAAACCTTCCCTTTTTTGCTCACTAGCAATACGCGTGTTGCTCAAAATTTGGTTCCATTTCTTTGTATCGTCGGTGGACAGAATTATATTCCTCTAAGTCTCAAGAACAACGTGCAAAGGCCGAGAAGTTACTAGACAATGCTTTTCCAACCTTCTCCGAGGCTTTATCTCCACGTACCAACGGGTCAAATGCTATGCCAAACAACCCTTTGGGTATAAAAATACAATCGCCGGCTGAGTCATCTATGTATTGTCAATGGCTTTTGGAAAATTCAACCTCGCCGTATTCTCAATTGTTTGCATCGGCAAGGTTAAAAAGTCTGGTCTTGGATCATTATTCTATGTTCACAGCGAAACAAAAATTAGAACTGAGTATGGGTTTGCTCAATAAAAAATTTCTTATTTTTTATCCCTTGATATTTAATGCTTTTTCGTATAATTTGTTTATAAAGCAAATAAAAGCGTGATTTCACAAATTATTTGTTCATTTCATTTTCTGTTACTTTTTTTTTTTTTCTATGAATTACATATAATAATAATAAATTTCAAACAATTAAAAGGAAGTTTTTTATTCAATTATTTGGCTGTTCATCCTGATTATCAGCCATTTGTCTTGTCTTCGCTTGCACAACTTTTTGCAACTATAACAAAAGTTGGATGGTTTGAAGACGATGAATTCAAAAATATAACAAACGAACTATCTAAATTCATACAGGTAATTCTGTTACTGTTTGATTTACAATATCCTGCTAATCTCAATAGTCGTCTTTTGATAATTAAAAGTGTGAGAGTTATCAGGAATAAATTACGCATAATTATCTGTGATTATATATGTAGTCTACTGTGGACCATAGAATTGTAGGTTTACAAGTATTATCTACCATCGTTTCCGAGATGAATCAGCAAACTCCACGAAATATGGCTAGGCAAAGAAAAACAGGTTAGTTTATAAAAAGTTGTTTATATTTCTACTTTTTATTTTATTATTTTATTTATACATCAATGTATATTTATTTATTAATTTATTTATTTATTTGAAAAAGCTATTGGATTTAGGGATTCTCAATTACTAGACATCTTCCGGCTGGGTTTGGTTGTTCTACGTCAAATTTTGAATGGAGAAACGGTGTTCACAAATGGTTGTTATTATTTTAATATAATTCAATTTAATATTATTATCTAATATATATATATAAATATGTTATTTGTATTTGTAGATAATAAAGAACGTAAGGTGAAAGAATATTGTTTGACATTACTTCGCAATTGTTTAGCATTTGATTTCATTGGCACAACTCCGGACGAGTCTGGTGAAGATGTTGGAAGTATCCAAGTAATTTCAACTATGATTTTAACATTATTAGTAAATTATTTATTGTATTCTAAAGTTATATGTCAATAATGTGAATAATCATTACAGGTATCATCATCTTGGCGTTCAACAATCGAAGATCCGACTTTCCTTCAAACAATTTTCGAGGCATATAAACGGTTTCAACCGCCACATTCGAGTCAAGTATGTTTAATTATTAGGATACTTACCATAATTTCATTCAAATTTTATAATTATATGATCACCATATACTTGCGTTCAAAGGTTATGGAAGTGCTTGTTCAAATTTCTTCAATTCGTCGATCTCTCTTTAATGAAGAAGAGCGATCTAAATTTCTCCATGCGTTGATGCAAGGAATTAGCGAAATAATAATAAGTTCAATAGGATTATCAGATTTAAACAACTATCACGAGTTTTGTCGTCTTCTTTCGAGATTTAGATCTACGTATCAATGGAACGAGATCACTGAGAAATCCGGATACAGCGATTGGATTGATTTTGTTGCTGATTTCACTATTAAAGGATTTAATAGTTGGCAGGTAAATTTATCAATTGTATTATTGGTCATACTTTAATAATACTTTAGATATCTAAGATGAATATTTTTTTTTCAGTTCGTGCCAAATAGCGTACAGTATTTGCTTACATTTTGGTCCAAAATGTATTCATCTGCTGGGAGATCTCGTCCGGGTTCTCCAAATAAATTAAATATGATTTCAAGCAAAGTAATTTATGATAAATACGTTAATTGAGACTTAATATTTGAATTTTTTAATATTACTTATTATATTAAACATAAATCTTAGCTAACTGCAGCATATATAAGTTCCAAAATTCAATCAGTGGAACAAATATTAGATGGTTCTATAGATGGTAACGTTATTTATTTACATTTTGCATTTCTTGCTGTTTATTATAATGTATTTGTTAATATTTTTTTAGATCCTTTGGAGAATGAAGACGCTCTTATGGATGATCTTGAGATGTTTTCAAATATTGCTCGGAATAAATATGACGAATCTCAGAAAAGCATTAATGATGTATTCCAACCAATATTTAATCAATATAAAGTATGAAATTTTCCTTATATTAGAATTTTTTTCTTTATTGTATTAGGATTTTTCATAAATTTAAACTTTGTTATTATTTATTAGGAATTATATACACAAGTGAACGTTGGAATTGTTAATAGTTCCTATACCCAATTTTTCGATACAATTGAAAGTAATTTATTTGACTAATTTTATTTTAAAACGTCAAAGGAAAAAACATCTTTATATATTACTGGATTTACTTTAATAACGTTCTTCAATTTTAATAGCAAAATTTGCTTGGCTTATGTATATGATTGGGGGAATGATCGGAGGTCGACAGGTATAAGAGATATATATATTTTTTTTTTAAAAAAAAATTTGTAATACAAGTAAAATATATTCTTATTATTTGTTATAAATTTGTTTAAATAGACTTATATTAGCACTGAAGATCAAGATTTGATTGATGGTGAACTTACATGCCAAATTCTCCAACTAATGAACATGAATGAACAATGGAATGCACCGGTATTTGAAATAAATATTTTTATATTTTTAAAACTAAATTTAATCTGGTTTCATATATATAATAGCGTACCAGTGGTAGCGGTTATGAAAAATTTGAATTGGCTTTAGTTTACTTTTTCCAACAGTTTCGCAAGAGCTATATCGGTGAAAGTGCACAGAGGGTTTCAAAAGTTTATAGTAAATTATCGGATATAGGATATAATGATCAATCTATGGTTGGTTATTCATCATCTTTTAGAAAAAAATTTCATAACCGTTATTAATATTTATTTAATCTTTGCATCAATAGTTATTGAATGCTATTATTCAAAGAATGTAAGTTTTCTGATCAATGGCCTTATAAAGAATTTATATTTTAATATTTTCTTATATAATTTTTGTTATTAGAGCAAAGAATCTTGAAGGATGGGGACATAGTTCAAAAATAATTCAACGCAGCGTTTCCTTGTTTAATGACTTGGCTGGCGGGTAGCTATTTTTTCGAGCTTTAAATAAATTTATTTTATAATTATTAATGCGCAAAAAAAAACCACTCTTAATTGATAGATATAGTTCCGTCAGGATTCTTCGAAAACTTGATATTGTGCAGTATATTCTGCGAAATCACACTATTAAGAATTTCCCTTTTCTTGATACTTCAAATAATTTACGATCACGTATGGTCTATTATTCTGCTCTTTCAAGAATTTTATTTGCAGAGGATAATGTTGAGAGGGATTTTGAAGATTTTGTTAAACCTTGGGATATCACATTGACCGAACTCGGAGCCTTTAACTCATTAAACGCTTTTAGACAGCCGACTGTTAAAGTATTTATTACATTTTATTAACGACGTTTTTATTTTATTTGAAAAATATATATATATAATATTTTTTTTTATTTCATTGCAAATTCAGGCAACTATCTCTGGTATCTTTCGTGATCTGAGAGGATTTCTATCTGCAATTCAAAGCAAAAAGAATTTTTTGGTGTTTTTTGAATGGTTTTACCCACAATATGTACCAATTCTTTACCACGCGTTGGAAGCTTGGGATAACGATCCATTAGCAATTACAATTTTAAAATTTTTCTTAGAATTTGTAAGTAATAGACAACAAAGATTGAACTTTGATATTTCCTCACCAAATGGCATTCTATTATTCCGAGAAACTAGGTATTTGTTAAATAAGTTCATGTTTATATCTCTATATACTTATTAAATTACTGGAATAACTTAATTTTCGCGATAAATAGTAAAGTAATTTCAACATACGGTAAAATTTTTAGTATATTAATCAGTTAGTTATAACAAAGTTTAATTTAAAATATTAAAATAATTTTTTTTTAGGTCGGCAAATTATCGGACGTCCTTTCAACAGTCAAGATAAATATGCTGAAAAGTAAGCGGATACTTTTTAATATCTTTAAAAATTATGGCTTAATCTTTACATAATCTTTACATAATCTTTACATAATCTAGATATAAAGGAATATCAATCTGTTTTAATATCTTGACGAAATCTTTTGCAGGAAGATACGTCAATTTTGGAGTTTTTGAACTTTATGGGGATAAGGCTCTCGAAATAGTTCTTAATACTTCGTTTGAAATGATGCTTTGTGTTCCATTTGATGATATCCTCGTAAGAAATAAGATTTTGAATTTTTAATTTGTAAAGAAGTCTATTAATTTTCTTATCATTTTAGATGTACCCGAAACTTTCTAAAACGTTCTATGATTGGTTAGATACGTTTACTAATGAACATATGATGGCATTGCATAATATGGATTCAAATGCATTTCTTTACATTATGCGTGCTCTTGCAGAGGGAATTCAACAATTTGATATCCTTTTAACGATGATTACTTTTTTTAAAAATATTAAATTATATGCACATATTCATCCTTAGCTCGTGACCACATGGTTCACAATGTTCTGCTGCTTGTAGTGCGATTGACCATATTTGTACTTTTGTTATTCACCAATCCGCTAAACTAAAGCCAAAACGACATTGGATCCTCTCTTATTTAACCCAATACCCAAATATATTACCATATTTATTTACAGCCAACTTTAATGCGGTACTTTTCGAGGAAAGTCAAAATCAATGGTCACTCTCACGTCCTTTACTTTGTTTAATATTATTGAACCCAGATGTAAGATTTCAAATAACTATGTAACATTTACGCTTTTTTTGTATATTAATGAATTACGTTCAACTTTTTTTTTTTTTGAAGTACTGGGAACAGTATACTCGTAATCTTGTGTTATGCCAATTGCTTGAAAGAAGAGATGTTCTCGCTAAGGTAAGGTATTGCAACATATTATAACATAACTAGATTATTGCAGCTGATATATTTTTAATTGTTTAGGCATTAACATCGCTAATGCAAGATGTTGAATTCAATCTGATATCCAAAAACCGAGATCGATTTACTCAAAATCTTACTACATTTAAAAGAGAGTTGACTAATGATAATGTTATATTAGTAGCACCACCTATGGATATGAAGATGACTATGTGAACTTTCTATAGTGTTAAGGATTTCCTGAAGCTTTGTATAATAACTATTGAAATAGTATTAACTTAGGAGATCAAAGTGTTATCATTTTAATAATTAAATAACCTTGCATTATTATAATTTTGATTATTCATTTCCTTTTTGTTATCTTTCATCCTTATCATTTGTTATCATTATCTTTATATTATCACAAATTTTTAAATTACACCAACTTTTTTATTGATTTGAAGTGATAATCTAACCTATATATCTCATCATTCATACATTCATTGTAATTGGGTTCAAGACTTACTCAGGTTCGTGTTTATGTTTTCTGAATATGTTTTGTATTCTTGCGATGGAACTATCTATTTGTTTTTCAAGTTGTAAATATTTTTTTTTTTAATCAATTAATATTAATATATATTATTAGTAATTAATAAATGATATTTTATTTCATTAATTTTAAATATTATTTGTAAATTCTTTTAATAGTTAAAAAAATTGCTTCATATTTCCGTGCGATTTCACTAGTAAAATGAGTTTCATTTATTAATACTGTCTCGGGAAGTTCTAATTCAAGAAATTTATCTTCAAATTTTATTATATAAGAAATAAATAGATTTTACAAATAAATATTTTTTTTGGACGATTTTAACGCTCACCGGACATTGAAATTTAACCGGAGGTGAAACTCACCGGTTAATAACCATATCACGTGATATTACTAATTTAATAGGGGAATCTTAACCTAGACCCCCATATCTAGAATAATATCTTAGACCCCAAATTTGATTGGTTAGCCACATTAGTTATTTATTTGTTCATCATTTACCAGCATAATAGAACAGGAGGGACCGTACCTATTTTTAGAACAGATGTTACACAATTCATTAAAGAATTATTTATATGTTTTACAATACTTTTTCGAAGTGCTTGTATCATCTATATTAATTATGAAAGGTATATAGGGTGTCTAAGTAAATTTTGAAGCTTTCGCATCATAAAATAATATTATACTTTGAATCCATTTGAATCCAACATACCTGAAAAAAAGAAGTGCATCGAATGCTAAGGTATGGAATCGATCAGATTTTGACTATTAAATAAAGATAAACAGAAAGAAGTTGAAAGTAATGGCCTGGCAAAGGTAACGTAAACAGAAGGTATTATTTTGTGTAATTCTTGTTATATGTGTTTTGTAGAAAATCCATTGAAAAGAGGTTTTAAGCGAACGAGGATCACAAAAGAGGAGGTAAGTATATCTAATTCGACGTTTGAACTTTCTGAAGCTATCAAGAGAATGTCAAAAATTCTTTATAAAAGAGAGTATGTAAAGAAAGAAGAAACCATTTACCCTTAGATCCTTCCTCGCTGACCTTCTGTGAATGTAGTATAATTTCGTAGTGGATTCCTCATGATTAAAGATGGAAACTGTAATTAATATGTTGTAACTTTTAATGTTGCAACTTACATTGCAATTAGTTTTAACCTATATATGTTACAACTTATAATGTTGCAACATATGTTGCAACTAATTTTAGCTTATGTTGCAACATTTTGTAAATTTGAAATCAATTGCTGTACCATCTTTACTCGTGTCCAACTCTTCTATATTTGTCTATTTATCGCATTAGACCTTAACTATTTTGTTGCTGTTTGAACTCCACCACAGCATTCATGGAAAAATCCTGTTGAGCGTATCATGTCGATTCTAAACTTAGGACTACAAAGCGTTGGTTTAATGCGAGCTGAAATGAATGATCAGTCTGAAAAATTAATGAGCAAAAGCAGTACAATGAACGAAATCCGCAAAATTGCTGAAGAGAATCACTAATTTGAAGGGAGATTTAATTGTAAGCCTTCAAGTTCCAATTAATCTAGTTCGCAATGTTTTCAACCACCAGTCTCTTAAAGATGAACCTTTTGAAACATTTACTGCAGCATCAGAGATAGAAATAGAAAGATTTTGGGAAATAATTCATCTTGTAGATGATAGTGTCATTTATGAAGATCGTACTGCAAAACATATAAAATGAAGAGTAAGTATAATGCTAATTGAAATTACTAAAAAAATCAGCTAACATACTTTGTTTAAAGCAAAATCTGCAAGAATTCCTAGAGCACAGTTGTACAGCAAGATATTACTTTTTTTCAATTAAGAAATGTAGTGAACCTACATGTACTATTTGTCGCCCTTCTCATTATTTGCTAGAAGATTTTGAACAGCTGCATTATCTTTCAGATCCAGTTTCAGGTGAAGACTTGCATTACAAGTCATTTGAAGAATTGTATAGAACACAAACAACGGAAGATCATAGACCTTCATTTAAGAATGCTAAAACAAAAATGAAAAAAGGCATAACAACTCCAAAAACTAAACACACAATGCCATTTTGCACTTCTGCTGTACGTGCAAAAAATGTTGGCATCACTGTAAGTTGTATTGAGTGTGAAAAGCTATGCCTTTTATTCTGCGCAAATAAACTCTCTGAAAAACATAAGATAATGCTGCAGGGATTCTTAGATACAATCTTCTTCACCTGCGGTATGTCATTTCATAACACATGTGATTTAGCAATGGCTGTAATACCAAAATAACCAGACGTGCATAATTATATAGAGGATGAGAATGATAAAGATCAAGAAAATATCAATGAGGAGAATGACTGTAATGAAAACGAACAAAATGAACCTGTTGAAGACTTGGAAGACTTGGATGATATGAACAAAGATTTGGATGACATAGACAAAGAGCTTGATAATAATATAGAGGATTCCATTCGTGAACTTTATTCAAGAGTCTTCGTTAATAATTCATAGTCTTGTGCATTACAAGTCGAAAAACATACTATTCAGCTGGAATCTATCCAGACGTTTGCATTGAATGTGGAAACTTGGAGGTTAATAAAACAAAAAAAAGATGAACATTCACATTGCAATGGTTGTGGTAATAATACCATTTCAAAAAAATGGCTGAAGTGGAAACAGGATGGTAAAGTCAAGAGAAAGCAATGACTTTCTTTATTTTTGAGGGTAGTTGGTTTTTCAAGTTTACATTTGATTTTATAAGGTTCAATAAAATAACCATAATAAAGCAAATTTTTTTATTTTAATCTATATGCGTCAATGCTATTAACCACATATCTGATATAGTATAATTTTACCGCATATAGTTGAAAATTCACATGATTTATTGTAGAGCATTTTTATTGGTCAATCAAAAAAAAAATTAAAATTTCAGAATTCCATTTTACTGATCCGACCGGGATATGAAAACCAATTTTTTTATTTTGTGTTACTTTAATTCTTTTCGCAAAAAAAATTTTGTTTCTATTCATAAGATACATTATATAAATTCACAAATTCCACGCAAATTCTTGTTTACTGAGCATTTGAAATAAAAGTTTTAAAGTCAAACTTTTAAACTAAGTAAAGTTACTAAATATAAATGATGCATAGGAAGCAGTATTTATTCCTTCCTTAATTTTTTCTATCTAATTCATCTTTTCTTTAATAGATTTTCAAAAATTTTAGATATTAATAAAATTTTTTTTAAGAATTGCATAATAGAATTTAATAGGAATTTATTTATGTAAAAAATTTCTATTAAAATTTCTTATAATTAATATTGATAATCTCTATATCATGTATATTAATGAAGGTTTGCTACTCTGAACATTTTTTATTGAAATTTTAATTTTTGATAATATTAGATTAAAATGCAATAAAAATTAAAATTTTAATAAAAAATGCTCAAAGTCCTATTTTCCTAGCAAATCTCTCATATAGTAAAATACTTAGAATTGAATTTAATTCTTAATAGATTATATCAAAATATTCCAAGAATTGTTTTATGTAATATAGTAAATAAAAATAAATAAATAAATATATAGAATTCTGAATAAGTTGAGTTGAGTTATATCAAAACATTTTATTTGAAATAAAAGGATTTAATTTTTTAAAATAATTTTTAATTAAATAAGAAATAAAATTTACAAGTAATTTTAGCGCACATGTATATATTAATTTCACAAATTATTACTAAAAATAGATAAATTATATACAATAAAAGGAAATTTTACATAAGAAATTGTTATAATTTTCTTATTTTAATAATAATTTATCAACTTATGCACATAAATTTTAACTTAGATTTTATACATTAATTAGGAATTTTATATGTAATAGATAAAATTAACATTATACTTGTACTGTACTTGTACTAATTTTTATATTAATTATTATAATTACTAACTATCCTAATCCTTATAAATAATCTGTATAAGAAAATTATACAGAAATAATACGTTTAAAAAACATATAATAAACGTAGTAAAACAGAATAATAAATTCGTAAATATTTCTGTATACTAAAAATTGACTTTTCTATATGCAGAAAAATATGGAATATATACGTTTAATCAGTATATTGTATACATTATATTTAAGTAGTATTTTCGTTTACTAGATACTGAAAATCAACTCTTTCTGTATGTAAAAAAATACGGAATTTATGTTTAATCAGTATATTGTATATGTAATTTTAGTTAGATTTTTTACGTCTAATCAGTATATTGTATATATTATTTTTAATTGCATTTTTTACATCTAATCAGTATATTGTATACATTATTTTTGGTTGCATTTTAACATATAAACTATACATGAAGTCGAAATAGATCATTTCGGATATTCGAAATGATCGAAATAGTTAAAATCATTTTTTTGATACTTTTACTAGGCACGCATAAGTGGTAATATATTTGGATGCATACCTTTCAACAGAA